GCTTTTAACAAAATTGTTACTCCCACATATTTAATCACTAAACTCATTAAACTAGCTGTGCATCTAACTCGCCCATGGCACAGAAATGGTGTCCTTTTAGCTGCAAACGCTGGCATGTAATTAATGTCTCCGTATTTCAGTAATCTATCTTGAACTCCTCTGAAACTGAATTTATGAAAGCTCCAAGCGTTGTATTTTAAAAATGCTACAAATTTAAGTTTTAAAAGTGTATAACCATGTTGAAGAAGCAATACCCCGATCAATAAAATTCTATCCCAATCAATCTTGATCAACGGAATTTGTCACTTTACCGTAACTGCGTTACGTTCAAATACTAAATATTTAGGAATCAATTTTTACTTTCTACTTTAACTGCGAATTAAATGGTTGGCTTTCTGAACACCTATCACTTCAAGACCTTGATCCTCACTCACCTTTTTTCTACCTTTGTGTTTGTCTCTTTTACATCTTTGAAACACTCTTCTGTCTCCCCCCCCCTCTCGACTTTTTCAATTTGATGTACCTTCCTCTCTGTGAAGCCTGAAGTCAACTAAAGGGCTAATGATATCCATCAAGACGCTCGAAATTTGATATTAAATAAATATATATTTAAAGTCCATCCAAGGTTCTAAATATTCCTTTCAGTGGCCTCCCAAGTACGCAGATGACTAATCAATTTATTCTCACCTAATAGATAACTGATGAATCAAAATGAATAAATGCGCTTGGAATGACCGTAACCATCAGTGACTAATGAATATATCGTAACTGAAGGAATTTATCACAACAAATTCTCCTATTTTTGTTAAATTTAATTTCAATACTCGTCTCTTATAAACTTTCAAGAAATCAAATGTTGACCTTCATCTTTTACTCAATCGATGGACGGATAACTTCCAACACAAAGTGACCTACCACATTTTCTCCCCTAAATACCGTGCAAAAGGAAAAATAAACTTGAGTTAACGCAGATCTTCCGATAATCAGAGATCGTTAAAGTAAAACACATCCTCCAGTCTTCACTCCTTAGCATAAACAATTCAGCTTTACTCACCAGATCAAAAAGTTCATCCATGAAGTTCAATCCAAGGTGGCAGTTCTGCAGTAGCACCCATTTCCCCTCCGCCATACTACTCGAAAGTAGTTTTCGCGCATGCACTTCTTGACCCTGACCCATGGAAATTGTATCACAAACTAAATGAAAAGGAATCATTACATATAGTCGAATTTCAAAGAAATGAATAATAAATTAGCATAGGGGCGAACCCAATCCTAATCTCTTTGCCAGACGCTCAATATTCTCAGTTGGATCAGATCCCATAGAAAGGAAACAGATTAGTGGAGTGTGGGAATCCGAATCCTCTTGGACCATTGCCTCTAAATCTGTGATGACAGGTTCCACAAAGCCTTTGCCGAGAAGTTCCCCAATATAGCGTCTGGCCATGGGCGAACAACGATCCAAGCACCAACAACGCACCAGTAGAAGACGTTTAAATGTTTGACGCTCGAGGGAAACTTCATAGGTTCCTGGAAGTGGATTGTCCTCTGGAGCGTCGCTATCAAACCAGCACTTCCACGACTAAGGATAGTTTTTAAAGAGTCCTGCTATAATTAACTATATTGTCTTCATAAGAGAAAACAAGTGCTCTCATCCTAAGGAACCCATAAGCCCTTAAGGATATAAGGCTGCAAGTTCATTCTTACACATTCTTTTGAAATTAGTCAGCTTCTAGGCCCATCATACAAAGTGGGAGGCATCCTAGGGTCACTCGTAATTTAACGCCCCCTTTAGTTTATCAGAAATAACCAATCCGCGTCACCGACTTGCACAAGTGAACATTAATTAATAGGCCTAGAGTTCTTCCTGCGGTTGATTGAAGATGTGAGTATATGATCTCCTTAATCACTTAATCAACCTTCAGGTTGAGCAGTGTTTAATGTACGCGTCTGGCAGGTCAGAAATCAGTCCCCTTCTTTAAACACCCAGAGAGGTCAATAACTGATCACATTAGTTAATTCTGGTTGACAAGGGGTGATTAAATTGGAGTTCCTCATAAGAGGGGCTTTGGTACAGCTATCTTCTACATAAACCAAGTACTGCTAACACTATCCTGGATGGAATAGGAAGGTTTAACCAGTATGCAAAATGTCACTGCAAGAACGCTGATTAAAAAGTGAATTGGTTAAAAAGATATTCGTTTGAAATTCATACTCAAATGAGAATTTTTCACAACTCTGGTTTTCTGTCAAGTTGCACAAATGCTTCAGATGTAGAAGAATGAGAAATTAATTGGTTGTTACTAATGATACCTATTAGAATTATGACTACTCAAGAATCTGTTCTTATCAATCAGGTCAAAGCAATAAACCTTTTCTTTTCGTGGAATATCCTTCAGAATATTGGAAAACGCAGAGAGTTTGCTGAGTTCCACTAGATTGAGCCAAGTCATATCCTGAATCCACGGCCTTGGCTTCGGTTCAACCGCGTTCAAGTCCAGAGCCGCGCCACCTATTGAATGAAAGATAAAAATGAATCAGGTAGCATATAATAATATTACAATCCATCCAAACGTGCTTTACCTTTAATAAATATCTGAAGCTCTTCAGGCGAAACTTTCTTCTCTTGAAGAGCCACTTTCAAGGCCAAGAGGAGAGTGAAAGTAAACTTGTCCTTTTCATATAACCCCCTGGCAATGTAACGGAAGACATCTAACATGAGGTAATCGATGATACTCTTAATGCGCTTTTGTGTGATTGAGGATTTCGGAGACTTGGCCATTGATAAATCAAACCTATAAACATGCAGAAAGTCACCTTTATACCCATTCATTCTTATGCGGGGTGTAATTTGACACGCAAACACCGACCTTTCGAGGAATTGCCGCAATGACGTCTGGTACATCACATTCACCATAGACATTTCGACAATGAGAAAATAGAGAACAGATCCTCTTGTAGCAACTGGGCGGTACTCCTCGCGGGAGGAATTAATTTTTACTTCCGTCTCGGCGGCTATGGAGAGTTTCGTTCTCACCTCTTCTGCTGTAGCTTTGGTAGTACGAAGAACTTTGATCAACGATTCATCCTCCACCAAGCTGCCTTCTGTGGAAGTGAGTCGGAGAAGAAGGTTGTCCTCTAGGTCCTTAACTTTCTGCTTGTTGGTTGTGACCTCTTCAAGCAGGTTGGTGCGTTCAGCTTCAAGTTCCTTATAGATACAATGAATGGAAATCTCAATATCAAATATAGAACGGTGGAAAAGGGTGAAATAATGATTAATTTAAAAAGAAGACTGTGAAATCATGGAAATATAAAGAAAAGCGAGCTGAGGATTGGGGGAGTACTTTCACTAAAGTTGAAGGTATAGGATGCAAATTTGGCCATTTTCTTATCACAAGATGTAAAGTTCAGTAATTTTTATATTTATAGAGGAAAATTTAAATTGGAGAATCAATCCTAATGAAGACAACAATACAATTTGTAAAAATTCCCCTTATTTCAAGTATAAGATAAGTGATTTCCTAACCAATTACAATATTAGAATGATCTATAACTGGTCTGATTTAATTATGTATTATTTAGCTGAAATTTATACGAATAAATGGATAACACCTACCTTCTTTTCTGTCATAATGACTATGCGTAAAAGTTGGTCTTCCAAACCCCTCTGTGTAACAGTGAAATCAACAATAGAAGTACTAGCAAACACCTCTGGACTATATGAGGGATTTGGCAGCTTGGTCGTCAGATACAGTCGGAATTTCTTCACATCAACATCACATTCCTTGTCACCGACTTTGACCTTGTAGGTCGTTCCAACCTTCACAAAATCCCTCTCTAGAACACGATCCAGTACAGGATCAAGCTCTTCACCAACATCAGATATTAATAGAGGACGACCTTGTGATAAGGCATCTTCCAAATGGTTACGGAAGTATTTGTGATTCAAGGAGCTCACCTAAAGAGAAACAGATAACATTGATATCAGTTCAAGAATTTATGAAATTCTTACCAGGAGATTTGAATCAGACTCTTTATTCGTTATCCAAGCCTTACCCTGACCTTGTGGATCAATCAGTAATGAGTACCGACTGGCGATAGTCACAATCATCCCATTCTGGATAGATAAGTCATCTCCAGGTAATCCTTGGAGATTCCACACTCCAAGAGTTGTATTATCAACAAGCATATTAACTATACTTAAATCCTACAAAATAATCGATGACCAAATCTACCGTACAGGTGACCTAGGTATATGGGTTCGAGATAGTTCATTATGCCACTGTTGATTGAGAAGGTTCCGAAATTCTTGATTAAAGGGACCAGCATAAGAAAGGAATGCTGTGGCCAGAAGAACATCTCCAACCAAATTCTCAATTTGAGTTTGAAATTGAGCCTTGGCATCGGTCCATCGAATCTTCTCACCTTTAAGAAGTGTTACATACTTAAGTCCCAATCAGTAGTTTACCTGAAAGGCCTTCAATAAGAGCTGTAGCATTGTCCATTTTCCTTCGGCAAGCTTCAGCGTCATCAGCTAACTTCTGTTTCTCTTCCAATGCCTTATCGTATTCAGCTTGGACGCGATCTAACTCAGCTTGCTTTTCGTCTAACTGGGCTTGAGCATTACTTAGTTCCGAATTCGCTTGTGCTAAGCGCGTTTCTTGAATAACCAGATTATTCTGAAGAAAGAAATGAATCAAAAAAGATCAAAACTGCACAAACGGATCATCTGCCGATTTCATACCTTTAGTGGAAGAACTTCTTTATTCACAGCGAAGAATGCGGCCATTGCTTTAGTCCATGAACAAAGGCCAGCCACGTCGCCACAAACACGTTTAGCTTGTTCCAGATTAAAGTCGTCCATTTCGAAATAAGGATTCATTAAATCCACTGTTTCGTCAGTTATCGTATCCTAAAACATAGATTTGATGACATAAAACGAAAACTATCAATGTCTTTGCATTTGAGGCAACGTATTGTCATAGGAGAACATTTTACGACTCAATTGCTCACTCTGTTACCAAATAGTCCCAGATTTACCAATACAGACTCAGTTTTTTGTAAAAAGATCGATATAGCTGATTTAGCATATTATTTTAAGCGTGTGTTAGTGGTAGGGTTTTGATAAGGCGACGTGCATCCTTAGCAGTCCAACAATTCAAGTAAAAAGAGGGGGGGGGGGGAATGCACGAATTTTTTGACGAGTCATTTTATTTCCTTTTCCACTAGATGCTATTTTAAAAGGACGTTGATTAGTCTATTTCATTGAAATAGTCGAGTTAGTCTCCTTTGAAACTCATAAGTAACTGGACAATATATACGGTTTCATTGAATAAGTGTTTTAGTGCACAGTTAAATAGCTCGAGTTGTGATCTTAAACAAGCTTCACACATCTATCCTCGGCAAAACTTTAGAGTGTTGAACAACTTAACAGCACTTATTTTATTCTCAATTTAAATATGAACAAAGTAATACAATACAATGCTACACCGAGTTGGTTCAACAACCCATAGCCTACTTTTAGCGATCAGGATTTTTCTTCCCTCGATGATACAATTATTCGTGAATTCACGTTGATTTAGCCTTCCAATAAGCGTAAAGTGTGATAGAAAGTCGTAGCCTATCCTTTATCTCGAAATGAACGACTCATATCCCTCAGGTTGTCTTCCAGTGGTTTTTCTCAATAATTAATATGAATGAGCACACTGGTCTACACACCTGAGTGTGGTTATAGTTAGATTATTATCGAGAAGACTTTTATCATATGGCCTTTGTTAAATTAATAAATAAATTACCTTTGGAAAGTTAAGCAGAGTCGACAGAAATGCAGTATTTCCCATTAGTTTTAGAGCCTCCGCCCATGATGGTTTTGGACAAGATTTCTCGGGATCAGGAGTCACAGCATCTAGTGGTTTTCGAAATAGAATGAGGACACAATCCATGATCCGCATGATAAGATGAGGTGGTCTGCCCAATTTACGCACTGAGAAGGAGTAAGGTAGTGGTTTAATGGGTAAATAGATAAGAGTAACTTCTTGTTACTTCCCACTTACCCGTGGCAATATGCGCAGGTTTAATAGTTTTCAAAGCTTCTTCAGCTTCTTCCTGTGCTGGTCTAGCAGCTTCTAGCCTCTCCTCCGCAATTCCTTTATCTTTTTCGATTGCTTTAACAAGGGTTTCGGCTTTATCCTTCACAACCTGAACTTGTTCCTTCACAGCTTGTGCTGCACTGGCCTGCTGCTTAACCCGAGTCAGCACTTTCTCCGCTTTTGTGTTAGCAGCCGCAAGTTCCTTCTCCATCATTGTCAGACCTTCGGAAAGTCGGTTTACGGCTTCTGTAGCTTCTGAAAGCTTTTCGAGACCGGAGACCATTCTTCCAGCTAAAGCCTCGATTTCCCTACGTTTTGATGAGTAGGTTGCTTTATATGAGGCAAGGAAGGAGAGGTAGGATTTTGGAGTGACGTAAGTCTGCCGACGCATTTTTTGAAAGTAGTCTTGACAAGCAATCGACACGCGATCCTAAAATGATACAAAGTCATACTTACAAGAGTAGCAACACCTCATCTGCCTTTGGATCATCGATGAACCTAAAACGAGTTAGTTGACGAAAAGCAAATTAACTACCTTGAAGAGAAAATGGATAATGATAAATTACAATAGGTGATAAGTAACTTGGAGGAAGTACCAAATCTGATCTTATACTATTCAGCATCTAGCGTAGAAGGACTTTCAATGCTTAGAAGACCTTCAAATTTGAAATGAACGTTAACTTGGCTTAACGCGTTGTCATTAGACGCTATTCATCGGCTTGAAGTTTTGGTCATATTTAATTTTCGTAAACGAAATCGTCATGACCTTAACGAAACAATCAATACAAATTTACTAACAACACTTTTAATGTAGTCATTTTTAACAACAAAGGCCACTGACAGCCAAGATGATAGATGTAAAAATTTAAAAACTTTAAGACGAAGTGATCCATGTGATTTAGAAAGTAGACAACTTACATGGAACGTTCCCATAATATTAACCAGCGCAGATTTGACAGGTGTCGCTTCAGACCTAGAGACGATATCGAAATCTTCTAAGAAATGCTTCGACACAGCAACCAGCGCCTCTTTAGGCCATGACTGGAACCAATCCATCGTACAGCCCGAGATCAGACTTGTGAATCTCAGACTTCGCGTTCGAAACTTCTGTCCGATTGGGGAGAAGCAGAGACATACGTGGAGATTACGGGTCACACGGAGCAGGTAATAATCTTGGAGATTCTCATTGGTAGGTGGGAGTCGAGGGAACTCACGTCTCATTGGCTGAACCAAGTCACCAAGAATTTCATTCATTTCATCTCGAGCAAATAGACCAGCAACCTCACCAGAGGCTAGCATGTTATTTAGCGGTTCTAAAAAGGCCTCCTCTTTAACCTCATTGTCTGTGAGTATAAAGGTAACACCTTTATCCTGGTGACCTGCCAAACGGTAGAGGAGTTTTAGGTCATCCATCAGATTTGCTACGTTATAAGATCTCGTTAGAGTTAACTGGAAGGTTTCATAGCCGACAATGAACGAGGCAAGCCTTGTTAGCGACTGCTTTCCAGAACCTCCAACTCCTACTAACAAAGCATGGCCTTTGGGCGTTCGAAGAATTCTGCTAATTTTCACCAAATGCACCATGGCGTCTGTAAAGAAAACTAAATCAAACTTGGCTCCGCGTGTTGCCTCGTTATACATAGCCTAAAAACAGAAAAACATCGATTTGTGTGATAACAAACTTCTGAAATTCATACTAGAGTTACACTTGCCTGGAAATATGTCAGTCTTTTTGCTAAAGCTTCTAAGCTTTCCACTGGTTCATAAATTATTGGGGCCTCAAAAACAAAGTCGTCTGGTTCATCACCAGTTGCATCCGGTGGGTCTCTCAAAAAATCAACAAAGAAAGGTTCTTCGGAGCTCAGTTCGGAGACTATTTCATCACCTCCAGCTTCTTTGCCAAGCATTTCCAGTGTCTCAACGAACCACTTCTTTTCGTCCAAATCCATGAACCGATCAGCAATAACTCTAGTGGTTTCATGCCACCATAGTGAGATGAGTAGTTTTGAAGAAGATATAGCTTCAGATTTTGCCCGTAGCATACCTTGCCAAATTCTTGAAAGATCTCTCAAATCGAAGACGTAATAGAATTTTGCAGGTGTGGGAAGCATCTTTGCTTTGACTCGTTGCCAAAGGAGGCGTGTGGCGGTTACCAACACCTTTGCCAGCTCTCGTACATCGGGAGAGAAACCACGTTCTTCACAAAAGTGTCCTTCCGCTAAGCAGCTAAAGATCCTGTCCATGGAAGTATCGCTGGGAAGGGTGCAATTGAATACTGAAAACTGACGTTTCAAGCGCTGTGGAATGTCATTTCGACCACCTCCCGGATGTATCATTGCTGCAATAACCTAGATTTACACAGGAATAAACATATTCTGCAAATAGAAAGTTTGGATAATGAATAAAGACGCAAAGTTAATAGCTGAGTGAAGTGTCCCAATTTTCCCACCCCCTTTCTGATGAGTTCCTAAAACATGACTCATTCCTAACCGAGATGACTCAACATTACAATTAGACATGATCCAGAACTGTAGGATGTTTGTTATTGATTGCTTTTTCTACAGCTGATTTGCCACGGTGGTATCTTGCCGAAATATTATCAATAAATCATCTAATCAAACCAATTCATGTATGTAACAAGTTATGGTAAGATGACTAATCAATTATTACTCTGTGTTTTTATGAAATATTGTGTTGGGGGTGTTTTCTTGAAAAGGACAAACTACTGAAATGCACTTTGCCTGATTTATCACCTAATTGAGGATTAAATAGCTTCTAAATATCTCTCAAAATACCGCATATCAATGCACACGATTTTATATAAAACACTTACAGCCGAATGCTGATTTAAACCAAGTAGAACCAGAGTTTCTGCCTTCATCATAATTGCCCTTGAATATCGACTATTGATCTACATTGACATCAACTAAAATGACTGCTACGAATGTCTCAGCTTTCATGCTTTACTTCTTTCAATGAGCTCTGATATTTCTATTGCTGATGTTGGACACATTTCTTTACCCAATGCTAATTGTTTCCAGTTGGTAATTGGAAATAACTTTAGCCATAGACAGTATTGCGTGCTCATAATAGAAGTCCTATCACTCTGTGTATATATTTTTCTTATATTTTTTTCATTATCATTTAGCCATACAATGTACCAACAGTCTTATTTCGAACCACATAGAACCCCCCCCCCCACAGCCCAATTCACAACTTACTTGAACATCTATAATATTTGTGAAATCCCCAGGTTTTTCAAGGTTATAGAAACCTCCCATTTCCATCATCTGTCTGGTAATTTCGTTCGTCACTTGATCACCCCATTCATTTACCACTGGCATGTTGACATCATCAATGAAAATCGTTAACCTCTTGCCCACCGGGGGACCAAAAGTCGAACCAACTCGCTTTTCCACGAAACTCTCCACAATCTTCTGGAACATATTCGGTGTTGTTGCGTAGGAGAAATTTATCGTCTTAAGCAAATTCGTTTCTGGATCAGCTCGACTGCAATAGCTCCTGACCATCACTGTTTTTGCGCTTCCCTAAAAAGATATGAAATGATAGCAATTGCCAATGTCAATAAATGACAATAACCTGTCAACTGAAGAGATGAGCACTCACCTGAACCCCAATCAAAAGCACTGGTTTTGATTGCTTTGCAACCGTATGAATAAGAAACTCAGTTCTTGTATTGTCCACATTTGGCACGAGAATTTTTGTATAATCGGGTGTTGTGTCGTGTGGATAGACGTAATCGGCGACTTTGCTGCTCCAATGTGTCCAATTACCCTCAGCATCGACTAGGAATTCGAACATTGTCTGCGACTTATCATCATTAGATATTTTAGGTAAGGGAAGATCAGCGTGGTTACTTCGAAGAAGATTCTCCAGTTTACTTCGCTCTTCGAGCTCTAGCGGAGCACCAAGTGCCCACATAGCTGCGAAAATGACAAGTTTTGATAAGTGATCGTCTGACAAGTCCTTTTCATCCCGATCTTGAAGTTGCCCTTCCAATAAATCAATAATTTGCTTGATATAGTTGCATTCAAGGAGCTAAGGATGGGAGAAGTTAATAATGGAGTCTGGTAGCAACAAAGTCGTTTAAAATATTTAAACTGACCTCCATTTTAGGATTCAGGTTTTCTATTACATAACGGTAAGAATCATCAAAGAATTTCTCCAAGACATTCATCACGACCTCCTTCATTTTTGGGTTTTTACGCAGTAGCCATGCTAAAATACGAATGAAGATGGGATAATAACTTAGTAATTTAGTTAATGATTGGTTATTGACTGAAAACCTAACCCCGCATAATCGGTTTCCAATCCAAAATCGAGCTTGACATATAAATCATTCCATTTCTTGACACTGTTGCAGGCGAAGCATTGTCAATATTATGCACCTCAAACACGATTTTCGCATTAGGAGCCATAGGAATTCTATCGCCGTTGGCTAATGTTAGGGTTCTATTGTCATCAAGCACAGAGTTCAAATTTTCAATCCAAATAGCATCAACTGGCCCATCGAGAACAATCCAACAGTGCTCATTCTTCTTCATTCTAGTGGTTCTACGCCACAAGGTTGAGAAAATACCATCTGTCCAATCATTGGTCGCTACATCTAGACGCCCAAACATTTGGGGAGATGTGATGGCCTTAGGATTCATACGCATCTCCCGGTAAAAATCTCCTGTCTCTGCTGTCATGGCAGCAAGAAGTGTGGTAATGCAGCATGTTTTCCCCGAGCCGGATGGACCCAAGGCCATGAAACCGTGACGAACTCGTTGTGTTTCATACATTTGGATGAGCTTTAGAACCCATGGTGGATGAAAGAGTAATTTTTGCTCTTCCATCTATAATATAAAAATAATTTTCGAAAGGAGATATTCACTTTATTCCTTTCCTTAATCAACACTGCAAAAAGTATATATTTCAGAATTTCAACTAGTGCACTTTCAATTACACTTTAATATTTTATCTATATCAAAATGGCAGGCTTTATAATAGTTATCATTAGGCCTTTTGTTTACTTCGGACTTCACAGTGGGGATGAACAGACAAAGTCACAAAAGGTCGAGGGAGAGAACAGAAGAGCTATACGCAGATGTAAAAGAGACAGACACAAAGGTAGAAAAAAGGTGAGGTGAGTACTGTGGAAGTAGACGAATATGATATACAGCGTAATCATGGTAGTTTGGAGCCAGAAGTCAACTGCCAATTGATAGACTTTTTGATGTATGAGTGTACGTTGCCCAGGGTGCACAGCGTGGAGGCAAGTCCATCACTTTAATAGTAAAATAAGTGAAAGTGGTGACATGTCAAAGTTAAGCATTCTCAGATTTCTATGTCGTGAATAAAGTTAATTACACGCTTAGAACCTGGAGCCCTCAATAGCCTGAATAATTTAACAAACCAGACATGATTTTTTTGTATCAATTCATATTTGACTTATCTGGTAAACAAATGGATACCCAAAATAATAAATAAAAGTTTCAAGAAAGATGGCGACTACCCTACGTGTCTATTAGACACAACACTGAAATTTTTAAAAGAATCTTTACAAAAAGTGGCTCTTCTGAGTTAAAAATTGAAGACAAAAGTATAAGGGCCAACATATGGGTTTTGGCATTTGTGATGGCTCAATAGGATATAATTGGATTGGTAGATATTTGCCCCTCAAGTAAGTTTAGGATTCATCATTTAGGAACGCAACTGGAATTTCAACGACAACGCCATTTCCGATTCCTAACAAGATTACGTAGATCCACAGAGACGAAGACTATTTTTATTACCTGCTTCATAATGGCAGCTTCCATACTAGGGTAGCCTTGTTTGTCGAGTTTCATTCCAGGGAACAGATCATCAATGAGGGACATGAAAAGAGGTTCATCCTCATCAACCAATTTGCTTATATTCATGTCTCGAAGCACTCGCATCACACAGGTAGACTCCGGTTGATCAGTGTGTGCTCGTTTAAAGGCACCGAGTGTACGCAGGACGGAAAGAATGTTTCTCAAACCGAAATCGTAGTGAACCTATCAATAAAAAAAGTTAAAATCTCAGTTTCTTTTTCCACTCAAATGTATCCACCTCACTCTAGGTTCATGAGCTATTGTAGAACTCTTATAAATCATTTAGGGAGAATATGGGATATCGAGGTTTTCCCAGTTCCCCTTTTATCTCAAACCACCCACATGCCCAAGGGACCTACACATCAATTACTGATCTGCATCCACACTGTCCGCATTAGATAAACTAACCATGCGTTTCTTGCACTAAAAGTACAAAAAGTACTTTTTATGCTCTTTCAATTTTCAATTCCCCCTCTTCTTCTTCTTCCTTCGCTTCCATTTCAAGAAATTGTTAAGTAAACTTTGGTTATAACTAAGATCGTAAACTCCTTTTCTTGGAAACTTGGCTGTCATCACATTTAGTATTGGATAATTTATTTACAGGCTTGTATTTGACAGCAATTGTTGAACATTTAAAACCTATCCAGGTGTACTTTGTTCACTTTATCAGATTATTGAAGCACGGAATGCGCCATGCATACACACATTTTAAAGACTTTCAACAAAGCAGGAGGGGAAATTGTGGAAACCGATAATTAATAGCATCTATGGACGTCAGTTGACTCCAAGTATGATTCGTGCTTAAAGATGGACATAGTTCAGCAAATATCTCATCACTTTTCGATCAAAAACTGATGGTTTGGCCATTTGTTAGTTGTTGAGTGTAATGCTATCATGTTATGGTATTTTTAATCCGATTAAGCAAGCCTAAGCTATCAACTGACCTGTTTAGAAAGCTGCTCCTCACAGAGTTTATAGAGGGTGTAGAATTTTGCTGCCAGTTCAATGTTCTTCAGGAAGCCGCAGGCTGCCAACTTTACACGAATAATGATCTGCCTATCGGGAACCATCATTGAGACTGTCCGGAAGTTTATTTTCAAATTCTCCGGCAACTCTTGGCGTCCAGCGTATCCTGGATTCTAAAAGGGGAAAAGGGATTTGAATAAAACAAGAAAAAAAGAGATAAAGGGCTTTGTAACTAATCCTTCTTAACGTGCTCTATCGGCAAAATTATAGGCTCAGACGCTCCCTTGATAAAGAATACTTTGCAGATGAAAGCCCTATGTTGAGAAATGAATGGATGCAATAGTTAAAACATTCCCAAAGAACTTGATTCACTCACCATAGTGAGAAAGATTCCAAAGCCTGGATCCATGTCAACCACATCACCATCACTGAAGACGAACTGCTTCTTCCTCTCTTTCTTGCACGCCAATACAATTGCTATCTGTTGAGCGGCTACTGAGAGCACAGGCAACTCAATCCGATTAAATTCATCAAAACAGCCCCATGCGCCTGATTGAGCCAAGCCCTTGTAGATTCGGCCCAAACCGCGGTAGTCCATTTGATCCGAGCAGTTAAATACCACCACGTACTTGCCCAGACATCGTCCCATGTCTTTCACAGTCTCCGTTTTGCCTGTCCCTGCAGGACCTGCTGGAGCTCCGCCCATGGACATTCCAAGTGCTTGAGCAAGAGTTATGTAGCATCTGGAAAGTAAAGTAAGTCACCGACTTAATTACAAAAAAATAGTGGGTTAACCTGTAGTGCATGGACAATGACTCATAGGTCCAATTACTCTAATTTTCAATGTATCTTATTTTGACTCTTTTCCCATAAATTTGATTCCAACTCCCCTATTTCCTTCTACGCTATCTCATCTCGCATTTCCTTTTGATTTTTCAATATCCTGATGTCATAACTCAATGTTTCTGGTTTTGAAAAGGCTATTTTATCGTGCTAGCCTCTAAGAATATCGCTAGATATGTAAGCCCAACCTAGTAGAATTCTGAAATTAGATCACCTGTCAAAATAAATCGTTAACTCTTCAACCTTTAATCTTGTTAGCTCTCATATTACAATTAGGATTGATAACCAAAAGGAAGAAGATGATATGTGATGGAAATATTTTTTTAAAAGAAAGTAAGTGATGGTAACATACCGATCAGTTAGCGGTGTGATGACAAGTCGATCGGTGCAGCCGAGAAACTCATTTTGGTAGACGAAATCGACGTCAGTGATACTTACAACGAATTGTTCTCGTTCTTCGTTGTAATAGGATCTTGACTGTTTTAACCATTCAAAATCGCGTGGAGAACGAATGCGCATTTTCACCTAAAAGACGACATTCCGATAATATAGCATGGTTCCTATTAAAGTGACTGTCCTTGCGTATCTAGGACCTCGGAAGGTGCTAAAGGACCGTCAGTTTTGTTTGCATAAACATTCAAGTGACTCTGCACTTCAAATATCTTGAGGGTGAAGTTGTCAAAACTGTTTCTCCAGGTTAGATTATCAATGAAACTCGAAAGTAAATCCACAAATTGTCAGCAAAAGTAGATATCTTAGGAAATATTTATCAACTTTGCATTCACTTTAAAATAATCATTCGAAAAGGAAAAGCAAAAAAATTCGCGGACTTAAACAATGCGTGAATGATAGTCTAAACTCACTGTTGAGCATGCCACGTCATAAGCCCCTATTTTCTAAAAATAGTAGACAACACTAAAATTTCTTCATTTTTTTCGAAACATAAGAGGAAATTGTGGTGTGCGAAATTTCCCCGGTTTTGAAATTGCAATAAGGAGAAAACGTTCCGCCTTTTTTTGTCAATTCTGATGTGGGAATTAGCAGGTCTCTTTAATTTCCGTCACTTTCTAGTTCTTCTCTTCAAGTAAATCTGTTTCCCAATTGTTATTATTGGAATTAGTGAGGTTTAGTGGAACCGATAAAGGACATGTCTGCGTCTAGACTTCTGGCTCTAAGTCATATCTCATCTATCACACATGCGCGCACAAATGGGGCTAGAAATAGGTACATCGTTTGATCAAAGTGTGAGTCAACTTAGTAAAGGGAAGTAATTAATTAATTAATTCAAAGTACAAACAAGCACAGATAGTACAAAGAGCGCGATTTTAAGCTCCGAACTCTAAAAAACTTTACGATGCCGCTACTTTGGGAATGGCCGTAAAGCGATTTCTATTACCTCGCTTTCAAAATTTGGCTTAATGATGCTCTTAATATGACCATTTATTCTTGAATGTAAGGTGGTTATTATATGGGTATATCCAAGCCCATTTTCTTGGGTAAACTTAAAATATTCACGATTTGGCCTGCTGTTCGACTGGGAGTGACTCATCAGTTGTCACATGATGCACGCCAAGTGGGCTAAGGGTATGGTTGTAGACACACGGGGGGGGGGGAAGTAAGGTTGGGTAACACCGAATCAATTCAATTTTCATTATTGCTTGTCCCAACCACTCGTTTGATTTTAAACAATTAATGCCTTTGACTTACAAGGTCATCAAAAATGTCCTTCTGGTGTACATGAATAGTGATGAGCGTTTCATACTTTGTCCTCTGTAGTGAGGTCAACTCCTTAGTCGTAATCTCAATAAGTTGATTCAAGATCTTGAGGAATTTCAAATTCGCATTTCGCATAGCCATTGGATTGGATCTTGCACAACTTAGAGCATCTTCCGCCTCTCGAGTCCATAACAACTGAAGACCCAGAAGACCAACTTGAGCGATAAAGGAGTCCTCGAATTTAAACAAATCAAAGTTGTCTTCATCACTGAGCACTTTGTAGGCACTGTGAATGACCTGACGTAGTGATTCTTGAGACATCTTCAGGAGGTCATCCAACCAGTGTTCAACATGACCCTGAGCCATAACTGGTCCATCAAGCTCAATCGATTCACTCGTCGAATTGACCGCCAAAATTTTATCATATACGTTATCATCAAAAGTGACGGTCTTGATACTATCGAAGATAGAAAGTAGATGTGTTTGAATTGTATGTGAATCTGATGCTTGACCAAGGATTTCCAGAAGAGCTGGGTCTGATACAAAGAAGAATCTTGGAAATACGAGACGTTTGGCCTCCAAGTAACCTGTCAATGATTTCTGACAGACTTCTAGTTGCTCTAGGAGATGATTGAGGACCTGAGTGAGAGTTTCATCAGACGTACAACAAGCCACAATGTTGGTTGTTTCGTGAGCGCGCTGAACCACTCTTTGCCAAGTTTTGTCTATGCTTGCAAAACGTTTGGCTTCCTAATAAAAGAAGAGAGATACTTAAATTTTCACGAAAAACATTTCAATGAAAGCAATTTGATCATGACTTACTTGTGGAAGCTGTTTAGCTATATCACCACCAACAAATACAGCTTCTAAATAAACCCAGAGATTCTGGGCTTGGAATAGGCTCTCAATGACCTCATTTGTCGTGGTGAGCTTGTGAACCCATTCTTGAATACGAGGTTTGAAAAGAGTGTTATATCGGTTAGATAGTAGCGATCCTAAAGCCATGAGTGAGTCTTCCAAAAGCGCTATCGCCTCAATCGCAACATCTCCTTTGAACAACAATTCACCTCGGTTCTTAAACATGGAGAACTGAAAGTCTTGAGCAGTCCAATCGTTGATTATTGACTTTAGTTTAGCTTCAATGTCAAGCTCTTTTACCGCAGAGGTACATATGTCCTATGTGAAATAAAATCAATAAACATATGGATTCTAAGCTCACCTCAATTTCTTCTTTGTGTTCTAATAGTGGAGCATCCATTAGATTCTTTAGCAGGAATCCTTCTGCGTAGACATCTAAGTTACCTCCAGTCACTTCTTCAATTCTTTTCCAATGTCGAGGCAACATCGATTTATTTACCATCATTTCTAACAGTGGACATGTCTCATTAAAATCATCGATCTTCTTTTGCAGTGCTTCATACGCTGGCCATTCCTTCAGAGCTTTAGGTAGACGTCTACATCTAGCCTGAAAGTCGGCCAGTTGTTGATTGATTGCTTCGATATCGATTTCTGCCCAAGGGGTATTATAATAACCACCGACAGTGTCTAATACGGTATTGTATAATTGGTACAACCTCTGAAGCAATGCAAGTTCCTTTTTTATTTCATGGAGATCTGGATATTCACGAACAGGAAGGCCAAATAACCGTTCACCATCCGAATAGGTTTCATAACTCGCCCATAAGTCATCAAACCGCGCTTGGAAGAGGGTTAAACGGTCTGATGCTTCACGGGGATCAATACTTTGTTCCATAGGTCCCCTAGAAGGTGAAACAAAGGAAAATATGCTTACTTTGAGTGATAATCAGAGGTGAATAGCTCATTGTCTTTCTTGAATTGTTCAATTCCAGTACATAATTCAGCTCTGAATGTTGGCTGAATCGACAAGAGATGAGTGGTAGAAGTGCTAGCTTGATTTTGCAATTTCTGAAAGGTGTAAGCAAGGGTCTCAACTCTTTCAGCATTTCCGTCGCTAAAGTGAATATCGTAAGTTGCTAATAAAGCAAAGGCCTTTGTCATTGGATCAATGCTTAACATCTGAAGGTCAATTTCTGATTGGCGAAACTCGTCAAGGGCGGCCATTTGAGCGCGCACATCATCTAAATCTTTTATCGGACACTGAAGCTTCTTTAGCAGTTCTTCCAATTTACTAAAGATGGAAGTCATTTCTTCGCCATACTTGGCATTTACTGCGCTTCCAATTGCCCATCTCCAGGAACGACACTCCATTATCAAGCCCTCTTTAAGCGTACTTGTTTTGATGGAGAGTGAACCTATTTTGTACTCTTCTGGTAATTTCAAGGCACTCTCTTCGAAGCCCTTATTAAATTCGACGCTTAAATTAATGAAAGTGAGTCTACCTTATACTTTCTCAATTCTTCGTTAATTTCTGAAACCCGAGGCTTCTTGTCTATGAATTCTCTAGCCGAACTCTCGGGATCCTAGAAAGATATGTTTTACTGGCAGGGTCTCAACTTACGGCATCTTTCCAGAGGTCAGAGAATTGTGATTTTAGGTCTTTAATGACTCTAGATATATCACCAGAGTAATGTGTGATGGAAGAGTTTACGTCTGCAACTAATTTGACGATGTTCTTGTTCTCCAATACAACTTTTCGTAGAGGACGTAGGAGATTCGAAGGAAGCGATTGAAATGAGATGCTTGAAGAGTCCTGACTACTGCTGAGAAGACTATTTGCACGGACGCTTCGAGATTTCTAGAAGTCATAATCAGTTATTGTTCATTAATCGATGTTACACCCTCATTAGCTATGGGCAAAGCAAAGAGTATTAGTTGACCAGGCGTGGCAAAAAGGCATTCTTCTATAATGAGTTTTTATCTTGGCGTGAAAACATAACCAAGGGCATATGAATCATTCATATTGAGGGTCAGTTGAAATTTACAATCTTTATTGGTGGGGCCATTTTTTTCGAACTCTATTTACTCCATCAATTGGAGTAAGTAATACCAAAACGAACGAATTCCTAAGCATAATACTAGTTTTCAGATTACTTAATAAATTGCCAAGGTGCCAAAAGCTTGTAGTAAAAAAAGATCTTTTGATACCCAGCAGCCCTCATGAAATTGAGTGGTTATCATCTTTTATCTAGGTGCCAAAATATCCCAAATATGTCAGTCCCATAGCGTGTCTGATATACAGTAAATGCAATCGAATTCACCTTAAATAAAGCTTGACAGTACTTGACATGTTCCCAGGATTGAACACCATCAGCAATTCTGAGAATAAGATTAATAGCTTTTCCGAGTCCTTTCTGCAAGTCATCTAGTGTTGGTCTACACACGATATTGGGGATTTCCAAAAAGAGCTCCAAGGAAAAGAAGGCCTCGATTTCCTCGTGAATGCTGTTATCACTTTCAATCTGAATACGCTTTCGAAGGGTCTCCAGAATGGCAAGCAGACCTAGTAAAAGATCGTGCTTTATAAACCATTCTTAACTTTTCTTAATTAATATAAATTTTTCCGCACTCACATGAAATCACAGCGTCGATAGTATTCTGACTGAATCGACTGCGAAGTTCAAAGAAGAGGCAATTAAGGCATGTTGTGCATTTGTGACCTTTCTTTGTTGGCGTGGAACATTCGAAATTGGCACTGGGAGAAACCTGTTCAGCGTATTCAGCGCTGAGGTGTTTGAGCAGCAGCGTAACCAAATCATTGACAGCGGTCTCCACAAGCTTGCTTTTTCTGCAGAAAGTATATGCGAATCAATTTTATAGCCAGAAAAACTAATTGTCCTGAAAATGTTAGTCGTTTAGGTCTGCTTTAATTACTCTAATCGATTGCGTTTGTCCTCTTTGAATAAAAATGACGGGTGCTCTTAGAGAAACTATAAAATTTGCGGAACTAGCCCTACACGTTTTATTACTCAAAAAGTACTGAGAATATGGTCATGGCCTTGGTAATAAGAGTTCTGTTTGGTTCGGGTCTAAAGATATAGAATGAAAATAAACCTTTTCGAATGGAAAATATGGATTTCCAAATTATTAATCGCCAGCAAGACCTTCCCACTAGGATTTCAATCTAGCGTATCCTCCTCATTAAAGCGTTATGACAGTCCTTGTACTAAGTCACTTATGCGGAAATTTGGAAAAGCAATAATGTCCGCAAATAATAAGCAATAATAAATATCAATGAAAAGTCTAGGTAAATCGAATAAGCAGTGACCAAGACAGCTGAAACTTATTTAACAGGCAAAATTGAAAGAATCGATACAGAAATAATAAGGATATCGATTTTATCACAAGCTTAAAGAGTTAAAAGCGCTACTTGTTCAACTCAGCACTAGTTGAAGGTATAAACTTTGCCAGTCTTTGTACAAAATCATCCACAGAAAGATCAGAGCAAGAGCTAATGTTCATTGGTGAAATTGTAGACATTTCAGTTAAGAGAACATCAATTCGACATTCCAGAATGTCCTTTGTCTGCTTCACAACAAATTCAAGTTTGTCCAGTGTGACTCCAACGTTCTTAATGACTGAAAACAAAACAAATATACATGCCAGTAGGGTAAGTAAATTAAGGATAAAGGAAGTAATAGGAAAGCCTACAATTATCGAATTGCATTGAGTTCCAGGTTATATCAACCACCCCAGGGTAAAGACTTTTCGCCACATCATTTAAGAAGGGTTTGAAAATTGGTACCATCTGCTGAGATATAAGAAATTGTACCTTTTGAAATCGAGACACTTGTTCCTTTAAACTAGACAAGATAATGAAATTTAAAGTGATATTTGTTAAGCTAATATATATATATATATATATATATATATATAGTTATCAGTATCATTACCGATCAATATGTTTCTTGAGCCGCATTTCCTGAAGTTGCAAATCCAACGCAATGTTCGGCACAGTAAGACCCAATTTGTGGAGATTTCGAGACTCCTGTATAATGGAGAGAGCCGAGGAGGGGAGATTAACCATGAAATTCAAGCTCTCTTCTACTTGAACTAGCAGAGGTGTTTCAAGCAATTCTGTTGTCGCGGTTTCCAAGTTTTTCACCCACTTGTGATAAGTCACTGCCTCATACTTTACCAGCGTAGTTGCAAGTTGATTAAAGCGTTTAACTTGCTTTTGAGCCTCAGGGGTCTGAATAGAATAAAGGAAATTATTAATCTAATTAAAAATTGAACAAGAATATTGTGAGGTAGTTCATACTTTCTTAATCGTTAGCGTCAATGTAAGACAAGGGAAAGAACTTCAAAGGGACTTGTCGGTTCGATAGGCAGAGCTAATTTAGAGGCAATAGTTTCGTCTTTAGATTTAAATATTATACAATTGAACAGATAGATGCATTAAGAGGATTCAACTTCAATATTCTAGTTTATTCAGATGGAAACAGTTGGCGAACTGCATAAAACGTGGTGATTTTATCAAACTATCTTCCTGTGGAACACAAAGCATAATTGAATTACAAAATTAAGTTGGTTTATAACTAGTTCAAAATGGTTCTTTGAATAGAGCACTGGTGATGTTTAAGCCAGCGATAAATATCACTGGTAGTGCTTTATTGACAAAGCACTTCCCATAATTAGGGTATGTCATGTTTTCCATACTTAATATTCGTTTGTGAGCACTTTTTCCTCTCAGCATTTTAAAAATTCATTAAGCCTAGAAAGTGTTCCACCCTCAAGAGGTTAGTTACGCATTCATTATTTGATTTAGCATGTGGAACACGTCATCGAATGCACGCACACTGCCGAATGTGTGGAACACTGCTCAGAGATATTTAACTGTTAATGTTCACTTAAATTATGCTAGATTTATTTGATAATTAATCGTATTTGCCGATATCATAATGTGTAATAAACATGTTCTGTGTAATACGTCTCTTTCCTCCCTAGCTTTGCCGTAGTTTGGCTAGTTCAAGGAGTCTATTCAGATATAAGAGATACTGCCATTGAGATTTCTGAGTCGGTCAAGGCTTTACTATTGAAGCAGTCCGCTACAGGCTATAGCTGTTGTTCGAGTTATGGAATTGTCATAGTGATTTAGTACTTTTGCTTCGTATAACTGATATAACTGTATGACAATTTTACGTAAGTAATGAGAAGACGAATTAACTAAACTCCAAAGGCCTCATATATTGATACAAAATTTCGCTCCTTCCTAACAAAGGAGAGCGCAAACGTGGTGATATATGGTTTTGAAACTTTAATCAATTCCTACCTCCAAAGCGCTAGGACGTCTTTCACTAATAACATCTAGAGGCTGTCGAATTCTTTGAAGTAGAGCCCTAGACCAACGAATTCGCCCGGCAACTGGCGTCATTCTACGTTCCAGAGGGGGTGCTCTTTTATCTGCTTCGTAGACATCTCGTATGTGCTCCAACTCTTGACCATAAACTCGAAGTATGTATTCGTACCGAAAACCAAAATCTAGACTCGGATCAGAGATTCTTGTCTCGAATTGTGAGAGAAATTGAAGCAGATGGAAGGCCTGGAGGTTAAAAGGAAGACGATTTATCGCTTATTTGTGAAACCTGCACCCTAAACCCAAGGTTTCCTTCAAAGTCTTTTTTGGTGTCGAAGCAACACAATTTAGTAATAGAAGTATAGAAATCCAGATCAAAACCCCTTCTAATCCATTGAATATTGCTTGAACTTCTAAAAAATTATGCGCCGATTTATGGGAACAGCTTCGTCTGTTGATGTCTTGAAAAGCCTCTAAACCTCCTATCTTGGAGAAGAACTGGAATCAACTAGACCCTTCCTGACTTTTCATTAGTTGCATACAATTAAGTCGAAGGTTTATTGAGGCTACTTGATAGCATTCGGATCTAACGATATAATTCTAAATTCGTTGACGTGCTTTATATTACTGGAGTGAATAGGTGTGTGGTGGTTAAATGTCTGTTACTAAAATGCTTCTATTGTTTTTCAATACAAAAGGAAGAATTGATAGAAGTGGTCAAAATAGTTATGCTTACTGGCAGACGTCTTGAAAGCCATTTGTCGAGTAGTGCGCCAATTTGAGCAAGAAGGTACTTTCTTTGATTTTGAAAGGCCTGCAAATCTGCCGCAAACTGAGGAAGATGACAAGATAAGATGTAAGTACAAATTAATTAACAGAAAAATATATTGATAAGTTAGTTTTAAGATACTTGTTTGTTTCTGGGATCAGTTGGATCTCCCTTCCACTCCTGGATTGAATCAAGCATTGCTTGATAAGTACCGATAACTTC